CAGGAAGTAGCAAAACCCTGGCTTCATTTTCTCAGTGCAGAAACCAACGGGTGACGTCACGGTAGCTACGTCCATCTTTTATACAGTCTATGATCTGTGTCTGTTGGGGTGTTTTCTGTCATCCCAGATCTACCTTTTACACAAACCTTGATTCAGATCTGCAGCTTAAAGACAGTAACGCCTCCTTTTCTGTCTTTATACCCGACACATAGAGCAGCATACAGACTCATTAGTGGATGCTGGTGTTTTAGTCAACCAAAGAAAATCCTGGTTGATGGAAATCATGCCTCCTCTTCAACCAGTCGATTGTTCATGGGGAGAAACATCTTGTTATGTGTCGGTGAACTGAGTGGCCATGGTGCTCTAAACCTGCTAACCTTATTAGCCTTAAAGAATTAGAAATAAAGATAAAAAGCTAGTATTTGCAGCATATTTAATTATTTGAACCTGATTATTTTAGACTGACATATGAATGATTCAGAGTACACCAGCTGCACATATTCAAACAGTTTCTGACAACAGAAGTAAATCAACTGGTGATCCATCATGAGAGCTATAGATTAGTGTAACACAGACAAGTTAGCTGCTGTTTTTGGATGATCTGCCATGTTGAGAAACTGCTGTTTAGCCTCACAGATGACGCCTACGACACTTTGTTTGGAGGCGACTCCGAGTAAACGTTCAATAAATGTTAAATAAGTTGGACATAGCGATCTCCATTAGCTTTGGGAAATTCAGAGTCTGTTCCTCCTGCTGCCAAAAATAATGGATTAACTCCACAAGACTGTGGATGAAGAACTTTTCTCCTTATGACAGTGACACCTGCAAACATCTGACCAATGAGAATTTGTTGGGATAGATATCAGTTACAATGTGTAGCTTGATATTATGGTCCTAGCCGATGTGTTGAGCTCCTCAGCCCATTCAGATAACAATCTTATGTTGTGTGAAAACGTCCGAGTTAATTTAAGAAAAGGAAGATCTTGTTTTAACATCCATCTCCTGTTCTGACAAACTCACCTCAGTGGAGGCTCGTCGTTTCCTGTTTTTGTAGCCGGCACTGGACTGTCTCTTCCTGCAGACCAGTCCTGAGTTTCTTTGTTTCTCTACGTCGTGCCACTTTCTGCGCTTCCTGCTCTTTGCTTGTGTCACAGGATATATCTGGTTATATCTACACATGGAGACCACCCTGATTAGAAACACAGAATATTGATGTTTATGGATTATTAAAGAAGATAAATGGCACAAGTGAGGTCTAGAAGTTATCTGACCAGTTCTGTTTGAAGCTGCCAAACCTCACTCTGTCTTTTGTTTATCACTTTGCCTTCCTGCTTCCTAAAGGTCAAAGATCAGTCTGGGCAGCAAGGCCTTGTCACACGACTCTGTCTTTGTTTCGGACTCGTCGGAGGCCAACGAGGTTCTCGGGGCGTCTCAGGACAGCATTCACGGGAAAGTGAAATCACTGCAGGTAAACACACACAAGAGCCTTTCACTTCTGTTTGACGACAGGATTAAAATTTAGCCAAGCAGATGTTACATCTCTCTCAGGTAATTCATTACAGTGGCCTCTGCCCTCTAATGGGTTAATAAGGAATAATCCTCCGATACAGAATCACAATCTGACGCTGTTTTTAGTTTGTGTGCTGCTGTCAAAAGCAGCAATACCGGCTGATCTGCTGTATATTTAGCAGGTGGGATTACACCTCAGGGCTGAGCGTAACAGGTAGCATTAAATAAGGCTTTCACTTGGAGCTGCCGTGTGTGATACATGATTAAGCGTAATGTGGTAAATGAGACACTTCAGACAGGCAGAACTGATGCGCATCACAAAGAGGGATCAAAGCTCTGTCAAAGCAAAAATAAAGGACTGGGTGATGCTAAGAAAAGCAGACAGATAGAACAAATGTCTGTCACAACACGAGGCTAAAACGGGAAGACGTGACGCCCAGATGGACACACTGACCTCCAGTCAAACAGAGGGGTGAGAATTAAACAGGCCTTCAGGGGATTTTCTAAGAAGGAAAACTTTCTCCTGTAGCTGAAAGGAAGTGTTTTACAGACGAGACGCAGCGTTTGATAATCGATGCTCCGATATGTAGCCCCGGATAGAAATCACTAAGACATTAATTTGCATGAAGTGAATTTGCTGTGGAAAACAATCTGATGGAGATTTCCTGCCCTTAATCCTGGCTGTGAGCTGCGCTGCCTGTTTGATAAGCAGAACGAGGTCAGAGCCAAATATAAACACATTATGTAAGGATCGATATGTTACCAGGCGCATTGAATATTAGAAAGTTGTGTGTGGCGCAGCGCCGCAGAGTGAATGTAAGTCGGTCGCTCGCTCGCTGGAGAAATCATTAGGGCTGTTTTATAGATGTTTCAAACAGGCTTGTAGAGGTCACGAGTTCAAAACCTGAAAAGCAAAACCCCGTCCCAGTGAGAATATTCAACTTGCCCCCAAAACATCTGTATTATTTTAGTCATATTTGGGTTTTTTATATTCTTAACTTACAGAATGGTCTAAATGCTATTAAAAAAAAACCCCTTGAAAACCCGCATTTAAAGAGCCCGTTTTATATTTTTTTTGTTTTCTTTTTCTTTAGGGTGTTCTAGCTTTTTTGTGCATGTGAAAGGTCTGCAAATCTACAAAACTCTAAGTCATAGCCAAAGCAACAGAAAGCACTGCTCCTAACCTGCTGAAACACCTCATTTGAAGTCCAGGCTTTTGTTTTGTTACTTGCTGACATCACCATGTAACACATTTGCATAATGTCTGCATATAGCGGCTAATTTGGCTCAAACAAATTCACTTCCCTTTTCCCAGAAGTGTAAAATCCGTGGTTAAAATCTATTTTTCCTGCTATTCCTGAGCAGTACAGCCCAAAACTTTAATTGTATGTGTTCTTTTCATTCTACCGAGCACTGCTTCCTGAATCAGCTCACAGTTAACACGACTTAAAGCTGGATTTTTACAACAGTTAATCCCGAACGAGGGGAACTTTGTCGAGTGACTCTGGACATTCAGGATCACAACCTCTTGTGGATTTATTTTATGTTTAAAGCAAACAAGGAAGCTGCAGGTTCCTAAAAGAGACAGGAGATAAAACAGAGGGTTACAGAGAGAAGGTCAAACAAGATACTGCAGCAGTAAAAGAAAAATAGTGTTTTTGATTATTAAACATGTAAACAAAAATTTGTAAAACCCCCAAAATATAATGCTGAACCTGTAAATGAGCTGAATATGGGCTCTTTAAAAATTCTGAAGTACCAGAATATAGTCAATCTGTGGCATCCTCAAAGTTAGCGAACCGAATTTGTCATGCTAATGGCTTTGCTAGCATATTCTGCAGACATGAGATATACAGAAAACTAAAATCATTTGACATAAAAAAGGAATGTCACGCAGTTAAAAAAGAAAGACAAGAACACAGAAAACAAGAAATACTAACTCAGTCTTTTAAAAAGTGAATTTATGATGGAAGAACACAGGATGCTAATGTTAGCTTGTTGGATATTTGTTTGGTTTCGTCGCAAATGTGCCGCATTCTTGAATTTTTAGCACATTTTAAAATTTTGAATGAAGAAACAACAGATATGTGTCTATTAAACAACTTTTTTGTATTGTGTATTGTATGTATAACATATTTGAACTCAACTTTTATCAATTTTAGCCTCCTAACACAACCGTAAATGTGTAATCAGGCATTGTAATGATTTGGTGTCCTCTCTGTGATGATAATGAAGCATTAACATGTAAAATAGCAGCGTTCGTTTCTTTTCAAGGACTCGCTGTGTTCCAGTATCCAGCCTGACCAAATAATAGCTGTATTGTCCAGTGTTAGCTCTGTGTCCGAGTAAATGAGTCCTTGAGTGACTGTTACAGAGCAGCACGCTGATAACACGACTGTTTGAGTTTCTGTGATACCGACCCCACGCACTCGCACAAATAAGGCCTTAAAAGCACTTTCTCATTTGATTCCTGGCCCGCTGTCCACACAAGTCGCTCCCTGCTAATGGTGCTCCACACCGGTAGAGTTTGTAGACACTCAAACACACCTTTGTTAACTTTTTGTAGAGCTGTCGTTAATTAAACAGGTTATAAGATTTGTCGTTTCTCCACCTCTGAGTAACTGTGCACACACAACCTGGGAAACACCTTCACTTCCTCCTGCATGTGTTCATGTTTGTGATTCTAAGAAGGCCCCAAAGTAGCTGAAAACATACAAAACTCACACATATGAGCATATAAACCCTGTTTTCTTGTTTCGTTGTGCAGCTGCAGTTGAAGCAGGCCATCAAACTGGGCTCTCCTCCTTCTCTGATGTGTGTGAAGAGGACTGAAGATGCTGGAACCATGTCCGAGGACGACGGCCTGCCCTGCAGTCCGCCTGAATACACCACGCTTCACACAGTCATGGTAGCACACACGTTTACTCACGTTTATCCTCTGCAGGCCTATTTATACATCTGCTCATACTCCTTGTTCTTTGTGCATCTTTTAGAATCAGACTCAGAGGAACAGCTCCATCAGTCTGGAGGGAATAGACAGTGATGACGACCAGGTGAGATGCTGTTTTTATTCCATACGTTCTGTCCTCACACCTGCATTACTCACAACTCAACCAACTTTGTTTCTTCTGCCAGCAGTGGCAAGAATTTCCTCTGGGATGAATTAACTATTCTTTATCTTATCTTACTGTGGCTGTAAAAAATATCCTTGGAAGTTTATCCCCTTTTTATTGCATTATAGCATTGAATCATGATCTATTTAATGAGCCTTTTTCTATATGAATGTACAGAAAAAAGACTCTTTAATGTCAAAGTGAAAACAGATTTGTACAAAGACTTGAAAAAATCGCAGTGTTTTTTATATGTTTATTAGTTGACATTATTTTTTAGAAATTTGTTTTCATTTTGATGTCAAAGAGTCTTTTTTTTTTTTTTGTAAGTTTTGGTCAAGAATGCCAAATTAAATTGACCACGATTCAAAATTGAAATGCAATAAAAGGAGAAAACTTCCAAACTTCTTTTTTGTAGGCATGTATGTTACCCTCAAGCAGAGACAAGGAGTCACTTATAGATATCGCCATTGTTAGCATTCATTTAAAGCTGTATTAAATTAATGCAACTCTAGTCTCCTTTTACCTCTGTTTTGGTCTCCACCACGTCTTCAGTCAGTTTGTTGCTAACTTCAGTGTCATAAACCCAAAAATAACAAACTAAAAGTTGATTAAAAGAAAAAGAAAACCCTCAGTGAACCTTCAGAGTTTGGTAATAATTCAGTAACACTTCATCTTTTTTTACAAAACATTCGATTAACTGCAGCTTTTATAATTTCATCCACATCCTCCTTCTTTCAGGATCAGGGAGCAGCTTGATCCAATTATCTGCAGCTTTCTGTGTATAAACATTTGATATGTTTATTTGACTTTGACATGGTTTGTCACACGTCCAGGAAGAACAACACGAGAGCCTCATAACAGGAAATCCACGCTCGTGCATTAGAGGCAATTTTAGCCTCGTGTTTAGAAATCGGTGACAGAAATAATTAGTCACATTTGACAAATTATTTCAGTGCAGCTTCCACATTTTAAAGCTAAAACAAAAAGACTGAATACACTAAACTTCATTCTATTTTTAATAACGTAGCTGGAATTGTTAGTGATTCTATTGTCGGCGTCTAAACAGCCGTTCATCTCGTCTTTAGCTCTCATGTGTGATTTATAAAAGCCAGGAGGAGCCTCCAGGCTGTGTGAGAACGGACCTTTGTGTGATTGTGAATTTCTCCTCATGTGACCGTGACGATGAAAACATCTCATGATCCAGTCGGATCGCTTAAACTAAACGCCACTTATGGTTCTAAATAAAAGCTTCCTGTATGCAAATTGACCTCTTCATCTTTGTTTTCCTCACTTTATCTCCCCCCGTCTGTTGTTCTTTCTTAGGTTCTCCTACTTTCTCCCCTTTGTATCCGTAAATAGTTGTTCTCCTGACCTGCTGTCTGAATGTTTGTGGTTTAGCTCACTTTAAACGTCCCCTGTGTGCTTCCTAACGACGCTGTCAGTTCAAACTAAAACGAGCACTTTTTTTTTTTTTGGGATGGAAAGAACGGAGTGCCAGTTCGTGATAAGACAGATGTCCTGAAAACCTCAACTATCCATTTAGTTTCGCCGGCTATAATGTGGGCTAAAAGCACAGTCAGCAAAGTATGACAAACGAGCATTTAATGATAGTGCAGTTTTAGCAATTTCGGATGGGTTTTGGACGGCCATTTTCCCAGTGGAAAGAGCCACAAGCGGCCTGCTACAAAGACATGCACACACACACACACACAAATACTGAAAATATCCCTTTTTAAAGTGCATTCCACACACTGGAATGCCGTCAAGGAGGTGCTGGAGTTTTTGTATTGACGGGGGAATTCACAACAGACATCATGGGGAGAAAGGATGTTTTGGGGGATTTTATTTTGTAAATGAAGCTGGATATCAGTGTGGTGCTTACAAAGCTTTGAGACACACATGAATACATACAGAACTTGGGTTTAGGGCGGTCGGTTTATTTACTGTAAAACTACTGCAGGTTTTGTCACCTTTCCACTCTACTTAGACTTATAATGCTCTTTTTTTATTGTCAATACCAGCACAGTTTCACACCTTATTTCTTCTACAAGCCCAATTTGCTCGTTACTTTGCACACTTTGCTCATTCCTGTTTTTCTTAAATGGAGCATGTGTGAGCTACTGGGTACCTTGAATTTCCTCAGGGGGATGAATAAAGTACCTAAACCCACATTTAAGAGAAGAGTTGTTGAGTTTGTGGCTCTGATTTGAGGCGTTTAGACTTATTTTCTCCATCCAAT